TGTTAAAAAAAATTCCAGATGAAAAAAAGTAAAATTAAAGAAATTATATTTTTCTATTATGATCTGTCGAGCCGTGTAATCTCGTAAAGGAAACCGACACGCTTGACTGACTGCGAGCGAGATAACATGGGCGCAGCAATGACGCAGACCTAGGCGTAGAACCATCTATACTGTCACTTGTAGAATCGAAACTTACTGACTCTTGTAGAGAATTGACTGTATTTCTCATTTATCTATTAAATTATTGTAAACACGCTAAACGAACCTCCATGTCGATAATTCTCTGCTCGAGCATCAAGCATCTTCCGTACAGGTACTCCGAGTGATCTGTTTGAATTCGACGCTGTTGCTGCTCCTTTTTCCGCAGGATCTCCTGGTTCTTACTCTTCGTCTCCCATTCCTTCACCTGTGTCGATTATAAAATGAAACATCGTCGAGTGTGAACGAACAACGATCGTCTAAAGCAGTGGTCTCGGTGGCCCTCGAAGCAATTTTACACGGCCCGCGAATACTTTTCAATTACGTATTTGTTGCAAATACGGTGCTTAAAGTTTTAGAGTCACAGAGATACGGACTGAGCTTATGTGGCGACCAGTGGCGCGTTATCCTATGAGCAAAATTGCAATCTTTTACAACCTCATTGCTGCAGTAGGAATATCGAAAGTTAAAAATTGCGGTAATTATTTGCAAAAATTTTTGGCCATTTAAAAGTTGTTCAAAATATTGATTCCCGGCCCAAAATAAATTCCCCTCGAAGAAAACTGTCTGACTCCAACAGTGTACATGGGGCCCCCATTCAAATTTGGGGCAATTCAAATTTGCGCGGGGCTTCGTGAAGCTATAACGCGCCACTTGTGGCGACTGCTATCGAAGGAAATTCCGGCCCGTCAGCTGCTTTCAGATCGTGCATTCGGCCCGCGTGCAATTTCAGTTGGAGACCGCTGGTCTAAAGGATAGAGACACCTTTCGTTTCAATCGATTGATCTCCTGGTCCTTCGACTTCAGCTGTTCCTCGCTCCTCCTCAAGTTCCCCTGCACTTTCTGCATCTGCGTCTCGATCTTGTACAACTGTTTCGTCAACGCGCTGATCACCTCGCTCTCTGTCACAACGAATTTTCATAATTGACGAAAAAAGACTACGGTGGAATGTTGTTTTTTCATATTCGAACTATGTCACAACGAATTTTCATAATTGACGAAAAAAGACTACGGTGGAATGTTGTTTTTTCATATTCCTCGTTCGACCTCGAAGCGGAGAACTAGTTCTCGAGGAGATGGCAATGTCACGTGAATGACGAATCTCCGCGGATCAGGATAGAATTTCCGACGTAACACGAACGATTACCGCGATCGGTTCGTTCGTGTGTCTAATTAATCTAACGAGCAACGTGTGACTAACAGAGAAGCGTATACACGGTCGCATGCGAACGTCAATCGAGATCAGCGTCTTTTTTTCTCGTTCCACCGTCTAAATAATTCCGCGCCTACCTTCTTGGATCGCCGCATTTTCCGGCATGAATACGTTCGCCGGTTTCGCATTGCAGTTCCAAAACTTTCTGCCACTGCTGCACGCTGTACTCGAAGTCTGTGAAATTAACATTCTCTTCAGTTCTACCGAACGGTAAAGAAAATCACATGATTACACAACTACCGTTTTATCGATCCGTTTGTTCGTACGATTCGCGTCTCTCTGACGATCCTTCGGTACCAAGGCACTCGTGTTTTCCAACGAGGAACTTTTCACGCGATCTACATCTTCGTCGTCGTCGTCGACTATGTAAGTCGAGGTCGAAGAAATTCTTTTTAACCTAGGAGCAACTAAGGAAGATGTTGGATATAACCTAGAGATCTTCGTTCCTTGATCATCTGGTTCGCCATCGTATCGAGTGTAGATGTTTCTTTTTCATCAGAATCGTTGGATCACATGAAACGAAGAAGGACGATCTGAGTTATTCATCTAATCGCTGAAACGTAGAGTATCTCGATGTACTTGTGATTCGGTGTGGAAGACGAGGAGCACTTTGCGAATCTTTTCCATGGCCGGAGGGGGATGTTCGGTTGGCTCATCCTGTACGCGGCGGCATTTAGTCGACGAGTTTGCCAGCATTCACGTTGAAAATTTATCAGGAATTTTCCGAAAGTAATTCCGGACCGTTGTTGTTAGGAGTGGTGAAAAGAGGCGCGAGAGAGGGGATCGAGCGTGAACACCGCGGTTGGTGATCGAAATCGAACGATCGATGTGAATCGCGTCGCGTTACAAAAGCGGCATACTTTGAATCTCTGGTTACCGCGAAATTTGTCACGCTCGATCGCCTTGGAATCTTAATTGACGCTAACGACGAGCGGCTCGCGTCGCGATGAAACACGCGGAATCCGGCGTTATGAGA